GAGCAGTGCTCGCTCCTCTCGAAGACGCGTTGTCGATGGTCTAACCGCTAAGGCATGTGNCGACTACGGCATGCACGACTATGAGTACACCCCCCCCCCCCCCCCCCCCCCCCCCCCCTCTCCCCGTCTTGTCACCCACGTACGCTCGAATGCCACCACCCCAGTCAAGCGCGAAGGAGCGAGGCATTCACCACCATCGTCATCCGTCCCGTTGGCCAACCGAGTGAGTTGTCGAGGGCATCGCATTTGCCTTCAAAAGCCGCCAAGCATGGATGTACGAGCGCAGCAGTTGAATAGTGCCGGTGCCCGGTACAAAGTGTGCCGGTGAACTCTCTCGGCACGACGAGCGTCCACTCCTGTTCTGTAACCTTCATACTGCTGTATCCCCGTTCTGAATAGTGCCGGTTAATATTCCCGGGCTTGAAGGGGACCTGTTCCGCAGTGGTTACGGGATCGGCGCCCTCGTAGTAGGAAGCACGCACGCACGCACGCCGACCAAAAACAGTTTCTGCGGCAACACATCAGCTTCGAATGCGGTAAGCTTCGAATGCCTGTATTCTCTGTTTGTACATGTTCTCTTGACAGTGGCTACGCTGATCGGGGCAAGAAGAACACAGCAACAGAGGATGCCTTCCTCCCAAGTGNATCAGCTTCGAATGCGGTAAGCTTCGAATGCCTGTATTCTCTGTTTGTACGTGTTCTCTTGACAGTGGCTACGCTGGTCGGGGCAAGAAGAACACAGCAACAGAGGATGCCTTCCTCCCAAGTAGGGTGTTGGTCTTGATGTTTCTGTGAATGACAGGCTTCTTGTTGTAGGCGTGTGTATCTGCCGAGCAGATTATTGGCGTGCCGAGCAAAATGTGTGCTGTAGGTAGATACCGAAATTGTTCGGAGAGCTGGCACCCCCGTGTTACCGTTGTAATAAAGAATATTTCTCCGCAACCAGCGGGGTGGGCACCACTTGCGAAAATGGTAGTGTTGCAAACATCTCGTAGACGGCTTTCTGAGAGGAGTATCGGTTGGTGTTCGCACCCTCCTCCTAGGTGTGGAGAAATACGCCACGACAAACGTCAACACGGGGGTGCGCCATCTCTCCGACACTTACGGACAATAGTCGATGCTGCACGGTTCGTTTCGATTGTGTTTTTGTTGTGAGATTGTGAGATGGTGAGATGGTGACGACCACAGCAGTGCGACAACGATACAAGAGCCAATTCTCGTCTCTCCTGCGTCAACGTGTGTTTCGCGTCGTCGTGCCTTTCGATTGTTCGTTTGTTTGCATCAACCGCACACACACCATGTGAGATATGTCTTGTGTGTTGGGTCATTTGGCGCGATCCCTTTGTTAAACACTCGTTACCGTCGCAGGTTTTTTCGATTATTATGTAAACATGTTGGATAAAGCGTACGATCGGGGAAGTTGGTTAGTGTTAGGGTCAGGGAATAGGGTCTGCGTTCCCCGTCCCTGTTGTAGTTCTTCAATATCTTGTCAATTTCGCGAAGAAGGCTGTACTAGACACTTGATAGCCACCCGCTACTGCCCTAGAACACAATACGCTAACCCTTCCTTCTCAACCGCTTTCGTTTGTTTTGCGACCTTCCTTCTCTCTTTGTTTTCGTCGGCGCAGCAGGGCTTATTGACGCTCCGGGACTCCAGAAGGCCCGTGTCTCCACGACCAATCACCTCGGCCTGGAGTCCAACCTTCCTTCGAAAGACAAGCAGATATGACGTCCCATAGCCGAAAAAATACCACAGGTACGGGTAGCTCGCACGCTTAAGAGCCTCTAGTTTGGCTGAGGCTGGGATTCTTGCTTCCTCGTGTGGTGTGGGTTACAAATGGCCGCTATCTATACATGATTGGTTGTAGTGTAGTGGTTCTTAGCCGGAGTGTATAGGTTTTAGCATGGGGGTTCTTACAGGGCTCACTAGTGATGATTTCCTCTCTCTCGCTCTCTTCCTTTCGATCTCCCTCTTGTTCTCCTCTCAATCAAGTCTTCGATCCCCCCCCCCCTTGTTTTCGTCTTTATTACCGGCCACACTCCGAGAGCAGGTAGCCAACGCCGAGGACGACGTCCCCGCGCACCCTCCGCCGTCCTGCATCGTGCCCACCAGAACGTCTGCGGCACCTGCTGCGGAACCTGCGGAACGTGCGGAACAGCTCTCAACAGAAAAGAAGGTGCGTCTCGAATTTATATTATCTGTTTCCGTTGCTCGGTTCGACAGATCTCCACCCACCCCTGTTTCGCGCAGGAGTGTGCGCAGGCCTTGGAACACGGGGG